TTTCTTTTAAAAATCCATTTACACTTGACCACTCTACAATTTCTTGGCTTATCTACTAAAATCCAGGTTTCATTCTTTATCAAGGAAGAAAACTCTTCTTCAATTGCTTTAAGCCATTGCAATTTTTCTGGTCCTGACACAACCTCTTGAAAGGACTTGGGTTCATCACTCATATCATCTTTAACTTGTAAAGCATAAGCCACCAGATCAGCATACCATAATCTGCTTGGAGGTTTGATTACTCTTCTAACTATATCTCTAGATAGTTGGTAATTAGACAGCCCTAATTCATCACCATGGTTCAACTGCTCACCTTAAGGTTCACAGTTTGGTCACCACAGAATTTTTAGAATTGTTTTCTTCAGCTTGAATTCATCAACTCCACCTTGATTCACAGTTGATCACTTTTTGGGTTTTGAAGTTCTAGTTCTAAGTAATCTGATCCTGATGACGCCCTCTAAATTTTCAAAATCATTTCCAAGGCTAGGTAGGATTTCTTCTAAAAACAACATCTCTGCTGATGATACATTTCTTAGACTCTAAGTTCAGAGTTTATAGCCCTTTACCCCATCTGAGTAACCTAAGAATACATTAATGCTCTAGGTTTTAATTTGTCTTCTCTAACATGGACATAAGCTAGACACCCAAAAACTCTAAGGTTTTCTAGTTTTACAGGATGACCAGTCCACTTCTCCAGAGGGACCCTAAAACCTATGCTGAAGATGGAGTTCGTTGTTGATTAGGTAGACTGTTGTGTGTGCTGCCTCTGCCCAGAATTTAATTGGTAGCTTAGAGCTAAACATGATGCTCCTAACTCTTTCTAAAATGGTTCTATTCATCCTCTCACAAAGACCATTTTGTTGTGGGGTATTCGTAATGTTTTTGGTCTCACAATTCCATGTATCCTACAGAAACTGTTAAATTCTCATTTACAAACTCTAGACCATTATCAGTCCTAAGTTTCTTTAACTTATTTCAGTTTGTGTTTCTACCATAACTTTCCATTCCTTAAACCTAGAGAATGCCTCATCCTTGGTTTTAAGGAAATAGATCACACATACCTAGAATAATCATCACAAAACTAATGAAGTATCTACATCCTCCTAGTGAGTAGTGCCTAGATGGCCCACAACATCTGAGTGAACATACTCAAGTGGTGAACTTGAGTATGTTGACCAGATCCAAATTAACTCTACTCATTTTCCAAAGAGTTCACAGAAAGCTAGACTTCCAATCTTATCCCCACACAGCAGGTTGTGCTTGCCTAGTTCTACTAAGCCCTCTCACTAACACATGCAAGTCTTGATTCCACAATAAGTTCTATCTTGAACTTCTGTTGACCAACAGCAGCAATTCCACTCTCCATTCTACCCTTTAACATATATAACCCATTTCTCTTCTCAGCTTTCATGACAACTAGAGATCCTTCATGACACTAAGGTTGCCATTGCTGCCTTATAGCTAAACCCATTAGAATCAAGGTTCCTAGTGAGATAAATTCCTTTTCAGGTCAGGATATATCTAAAGTCTGTGAGAGTTTTAGTTACACCATTTTGAAGATTTAGCTTAACGTGCCTATACCTTTTATATGACACACAACATTATTCCCCATCATAACTTTCCCACATCTAAGGTTGAAATGAGCGAACCATTCTCTATTTGGTGTCATGTGTTAGGTACACTAGAGTCTAGGATCACTCCTCACTGGTTTTACCCTCAGAAATAACTAAAACTTCAGAACTCTCAATCCCTCAGATGCTACACAACACTGCTCCCTTACTATCTCTTTCAGGTTTCTGCTTGTTCTTTCTCTCAGGACAAGTCTCTCCTAAAATGACCCTTCTTATGGCAAAAGAAACATTTTCTATTTCCTGTCCTAGACTTATACCTATTCTATTTTCCCTCCCTTTTTCCAATTCTTCTATCTGATCTCCTCTAACATTAGACCTTCACCATCACCACATTTTATCTTCATCCTATTCTCCACTATCATTGGCAGAAACAGCCTCACTACCTCTTCTAACTTCAGTGTTTGTCTACCATATTTAGGGTTTCCACAAAGTTAGAATAAGATTTAGGTAAAGCATTCAACAAGATTACTGTCTGATCCCATCATCAATATCTACAGAATACTTTGTAGATCCTGAATCACTTTCAAAAAATCATCTTTATTATCTTCAAAGATTTCTGCTCATCCATTTAAAGCCAAACAACCTCTGCTTTTTAAATAATTATCTTAGGGACAGTTTTAGATTGATAGAGGAGGTTTAACCTTTTCCAGATTTCAGCAGCTGTCTTCTCCTTCTTGACCTCCCGAAGGACTTTGTCACCCAATCCAAGGATCAAGGAGCTTTTGGCTTTGTTAGCATTTCTGCTCTCGGAATCTTTCATGGTCTCTGGTAGTTCAATCTCTTCCTTTAGGGCTAAGGCTAGCCCTTCCTTGATCAGTACTGCTTCTTCTTCATTCCACAGACCAAAATCATTCTCACCTGTAAACTTTTCAAGTTCGAATTTAGTGGACATGATTAAAGTTTTAGCTAAGAAACTGGTCACAGAACACTTAAAACAAAAAAAAAAAAAACTAACATTTTATGAAGACCTGAGCCAGGCTCTGAACCAATCTGTTAAGATTTTTGTCCTAAGTTATCATAGATTGCAGATCTTGGGCTAACAATCAACTGTGTAACAAGATGAAAAAATCACAGATTCTGGTCTCTGGGTAACAACCAAATCGTTCCAAACCACAAGTTATCACAGATTAAAGCAGTGAATCATCAGCATTGATCAACAGCAGATCAAGCAAAAATAAAATAAGATCCACACAAGAATTTTAGTGGTTCGGCTGGGTAGCTACCCACCTCTTCAAGGCACAAATAGGATATCATTACTATCACAGTCAAGGAGACAATTTACAGGGTATTAACAAAGAAAGAAACCGATTGAGCAAAGAGGAATACAACCCGAAGAAACCCTAGCTTTCTTCCCTTTTCCCCTTGCTGCCAATCCTATCAAATGGAATCAATTTATACATTAGCCACTTCCAGGATCAATCTCCACTTGGTACCTCTAGAAGATCTAGCCGTAGACAAGCAACAAATTTCGTCTCCCATTAGAACATTCTGGAACAAGACAGTTAGAGAGGAGAAATATGTGAAAAGAAGAGGGCTGGATCGAATGAGTAGACAAAGTCATTTTCGTCATCTTAAAACGATGTCGCTTGGACCCTTTGACCTCCCAATTTTAATTGACTCCACCGTGGCACAAACACAAGCACATCATCACAATTTTAATTGGAGCTTGTTATTAAGAAATTAAGAGATTTTAAGAGGTTTTGTTAGGTTAATTTGAGAATGGGAACAATTAAAACTCATGATTAATCGTATGCAGTACGATTATGTAGATTATAATAAGAAATGAATGGAGAGATTTAGTCTTGTAATCCATCTTGTTCACTATCACACAAAATAGTCTGTCCTTTAGCACTTGGTGGCTTGGTCTTTTGTGGACTCTACCGCTGAGTTTTTTTTTGGCATCATCCAGAAATTTCAGCCAAAATTTAAAAGAAAAAAAAATCATGAAACACTACGTTATACTCTTCTTAAAGTTGTTAAAAGTTGTATTTGGTGTAATTGGACTCACTCTTCCCTTTCAGTTAACTTTTAAGAGTGAATTTTATCCAACCGGTTTATATGGTATCGGAGCCACATTTGTTTGTGGTGATGGTGAGGTTGGACTCCTTTCTCCCTTGAACTCCTTTTTAGGGTGAGTTCTATGCAAATCGTTCACAAAGCTTTATCATACCTATCTAACAAAGAGGAAAATTCTAGAATGCTAGAAAAGTACAATCTCACTATATAAATAGCCGATGTTTTATTTCATGTTTGAATTTTCTTTTTCCTTATCAATCTTTAATTTAACTGGCAGTTGTAATATACATGTATTGATTGTGATATTGCTAATGTAGTACCATTTAGTATAAATTATCGCAGGTGAAATCAAACAATAGCATTGTCAAGCTTAAAGATGGCATATTATCATAAGAATAAGACCTTCCACCCAGCTAGTGAATGAAACATATAAGAGAGAAGAGGGGGGCAGAAGAGTTAATAAGAAGTACGTTGTTGCCTAAAGCATAATAACTAGACGTCTGAAATGGCCATTGGATATTAAACATACCTGTCATCTGGTTCACATTTTAAAAACAGAAGCCAAGAATGATAGAGAGTATTTCTAGAGCCACGGATGGTTTTTGGTTGAGGTCCAAATCCAATGCCCGTGTGGGAGTAAAATATTTTGAAGACACTGGATTATGTAGTCAAGTTATGATTCATGACAAGTTTGATGATGATAGATACCCATCTAACCAACTCAAACGATTGGGCTGAACACTAAATATTTATGGGTTTGGGTAAAATTCACTTAGAAAACTAGTTTGTCAAAGGAGGGTGTGCAAGCCTTTATAACCATATGCCCCAATGTGAGATCCTAAAATGATAAAACTAAAATGTTGAAGGCAAGGTGCTTCAATGGCATAAATCAAAATTATCAAATATCAGAATGGAAATTACAAAGCATTCGTCTCAATTTAAGCCTTTCTGGTGATGCATAGTTTGATTGTGAATGTCATGAACCTTAAAAAACAAGGGATCGCAACTTGAAATCCACTTGTTTCAAAAGGAAAATTCGACCTCTGATTTTAAACCAAGGGCTTGAATAGTTGTACTCTAGCATATGATTCTAATAGTAAAACAGAGTAAATCTTATCAAGTTAAGTATAAGATTCAACCAAGCAGATAGATAAATGAGGCATTGAATAAAAAGAGAGATAAAACAAAGACTAAGAGGCAACGAGTTGTTGACTCATCAATTTCTTAAAAATCCAAGTGAAAGGTTTACGAGAGACAACGAGTTGTTGACTCAACGTTTGCTAAAACTGTACGCAGCTAATTCGAACGAAAACCTATATGTATTGATTATTTCATTCATATATATATATATATATATAATAGTACAATTCTAGATAATTGAATACGTTGCGAACCACCAAACAGACTGACTTCTTTATCTACGTCTGTTCTTCATATACCAGCGGCTGCTTCAAACCTTTGACATGGTGTAGTCCATAACATCAACCAGGTAATCTGCAAACGTTATTTACAACTTAAAAACACAGTTGAAATGAAAAAGAATAACATTCTGTCATTTTTTCCAAAGACCTACCAGCATCTTCCTTGGTGAAACAGAGAGGAGGTGTTATTCTGAAAACATTTCCGTAATATCCTCCTTTCCCAATCAGTACTCCATGTTCTACAATAGGAAAAAAAAAAAAAAAAAAGGGTTTATTAACAATCATATGCTTAAAGCATAGCTAGATTGAAATGTGGAGGGGAAAAACACATACCTTTCATCTGGTCCATTACATGTAGAGTTTCAGCCTTCGCAGGTGTTTTTTGTTGGCGATCGGTGACAAGTTCAACTCCAAGTATAAAGCCTCTTCCCCTTACATCTCCAATAACTGCAGAGAACATTATATAACATAATCAGCAACCATCAAGTTCATCTTAAAAAGAGAAGCCAAGAATATGATTAAGAGCAAAGAAGAAAGCTTACTCTCATGCTTATCCTTCAGTGCATTTAGTCTTTCTTTCATATAGGATCCAACAACAAATGCATTATCCTGAAGCTTCTCTTTTTCAATCACTTTCAAAACAGCATGCCCTGCTGCTGTACACAGAGGATTGCCTCCAAAAGTATTAAAATAATTGCGGCGAGTCAGGACCTCTGCAATCTCAGGAGTGGTTACTACAGCACCTAGGGGAATGCCATTCCCAATACCCTGCGGATACCACCACAATAAACAATCAAATTAGAACCATATTCTAGTGCATGATGAACCAACACAAAAGACATAGTGGAAAAATACTTGTTTGAAACTGTTGAAGGTGAATAGATAAGCTGAGCAGTTAATAATTTGTAGAGCAATGGCATGGATTAATTTCGTGATGCAGGGATAAGTTTTCAGGTTTGCTACAGAACAAAAGGCAATGACAAACTAACCTTTGCCATTGTCACTATGTCGGGAACAACACCTTGGGCCTCAAAGCTCCAGAAATGGCTCCCCGTGCGAGCGTACCCAGCCTGAACCTCATCGGCAATGCAAAGACCTCCAGCTTTTCTAATACTTTTATAAACGTCAGGCAAGTAACCTGGTGCCAACTCTACTATGCCACCTACTCCCTGTCAAGTATGAAACATCTTTCCTCTAAGAATACATAAAATATAACACCTTAATTCTAATCCACGGAACTGAAACTTACAGTGCGGTAAACAACTCAGAGTGAATAATAATTACCTGTATAGCCTCAGAAAGAAAACCAGCAACATGACCACTAGTTCCAAAGTCAATAAGCTCTTGGACATCTTTTGCATACTTTTCACCATCTGAACCAAAGGCACCTCTGTATGGGTCTGGATTCAGGGCATGATGAACTCCAGTCTGTTGGCCAAACGATAATGAGAGCAGTTAGTAACTATGTCCACAATGATTTCATTAAAACGTATTACATTATTACTACAGCTTCAACATAAGCTACATAGCTTGGTTTCAGAAATTTGAAAAAAAAGAAAAAACATATAATTACACTCTAGGACAGCAGACAATTTTGACTGTTAAAGTCCACTCTTGCCAATTTACTTATATCCTCACTTTATCGTTGACTTGATACATGCAGAACTTCTGATATATTTTCCTACGGCAGCTCTCCCTCTTTACCAATTTCAGTGTCCTGATATGTTTAGTTCAACTTGATTCTATATCGCCAGTGCATCTCCAAGTGCGCTATATTCAAGTTTGGAACCTAGTGCAAGAAGGTCCTCTAGATGGGCCATACTCTCACATATGAAGATGTGATGTGACCCACTAGCAAACAGGAAAAAGAAATGACGGAAGTTCACTCTTATGAAAAATATCTCCAATTTCAATTGCATTTCAAACAAAGAAATGTTAGCAAAAAAAGGCAAAGCTTGTGGACCCTTTACGGAACTACAATTTTCTAAATGTTTACCATGCTTTTAAGTTTCAAGAATAATTTTGTTTTTTTAAGGCAAGAAATAATGGCCGGCTGCAAATATCATTGTGCAATAATAAAATCATTCCATTATTAGCCTAAGATATTCCCATTAGTGCAAGGGGTCATCATCATCCACCAAACTTTACCATATTCATTCTCATTCACTTTAAAAGTGGGACCATACTTTTTGTAATTTCCAGGATGAAACAAATAAAAGACTTGAAAGATAGGTACTTAACCTGAACAACATTAAATTTCCAGTTGGACTGGGCTGTGGCTCCCATAGTTCCAGCTGCGTTACCATGATATGCGTTCCTTAGTGATATTATGTCATTAGATCCTGTATATAATCTTGCCATCATTATTGCTAATTCATTGGCTTCTGTGCCTGAATTTGTGAAGAAGACCACCTACATAAAAATAATCAAAATTTATTTTAATGATGAAAAAAAAGAAATCTCTAAACAATTTAACATGGATACTGAAAATCTCTAGCTTAAAATATTAACGTGCAGGATCTTTATACAAAATGTTTGTACTACTGAAGGAAGCTTCTAAAAGGCCGTGTTCACTTTCATTTTTCATTTCCATTTCTCATTTCCAAAATAAAACACACAAAAAATTAAAAATGTAAAGATTTTTAAAGATTTTTTTTTTTTTTATTAATTGATGTTGTATTAAGAAGATAAAAACAAAAGTATTTTGGGACATTAAAAGAGAAAAATTTAAACTTCTTATCTGGACAAAAAAGACGTTTTCAAATCTTAATATATAAAATCCATAATTCATAAATATTGTTGATATGATATGATCTTCATCAATCATCATCATAATTGAAAACGACAAAAATCAAAGACAAGATGAAACGTGGACCGTTGATGACAGACCTTAAGATTGCCAGGCATTTTGGAGGCTAAGGCCTCTGCGAAATCAGCGATAACATGGTTGAGATAGAGGACTGTGGAGTGCTGTATGCGTTTGATTTGATTAATCACTGCGTCGACTACATCAGGATGACTATGGCCGCAACACACAGTTGCAATCCCTCCAAAACCATCTAAGTATCTACGGCCGTTTTCATCGAACAAATATTGCTTCTTTCCATCCACCACGTTTAGCTGTCACATAAAGATTCATAAAATCAAAATCCTTTACATCTGATCGTTCATTTCGACAGTCTGGCCCACTCAAAAGATTTAATCAGAAAGCAAATGAGATTGCCAAAAGATGATCTCATATTAAAAGATCAAAAAAATAATTATTATTATTAAGAAATGAAAACGATTCAATCATGCATGGAAGGGAAATGATCCGCTGTAATAACGTGGACTCACAGGTTTGTTATAGAAGTGGAACAGTGAAGGACTGAGATAGGTCTTGCGCTTGGCCAAGATCTCATCGACGGAAGGGCCGGTATACGGAGGAGGAGAGTAATCGAATGGGGGCATTTTGGGAAGAAAAACTTCATTGTCATTTAGAGGCGTCTCCTGCTTCTGCACTAGCTGAGAGAAGAAGCACCGGTTGCACCGCTGAGAATTTGTTGAATTCGTTTCCGATAATATCCTTCTCACTACGAATCTCTGCATCTTCGTTTCTGTTTCTGCTCGGTTTACGAGTTATGGAGAGAGATTCCGAAAATGCAGGAGGAATATCGAGTGTGTGTGTGCGTCTGTGATCGCAAGTTCTCGCACGAGTTGAAAAGTGCAAGAGTCTGCAAAGTTTTATATAGGAGGAAGAGCTCGTGACGTGTCACACATGAAATGACAATATTACCCCTGTACTACAAAACGCCGTTACTCCTTGAGCAAAATTAGCATGTAAATCTATTCAGTTTTAATTTTTAGACACAATGATAATCACGAGTTTATTAACAATAAGCATTTTCAACGGTATAAACGCACCTACTGTGTATGGGTTTCTCTTTTCTTTATGTACATTAATTTCTTTTTGTATTCGATTAATCTTATCTTATTATTTAGAAAAAGTAGACACTTGTAATAAAGTTAAAAAAGGATAGAGTCAAGTGAAAAAAAAAAAAATATTAGAGGAAATACAAATGAAAGAAAAATAAGAAGAAATTTATAAATAAACGATTTGTCATGGGTCTAGACTTTCGACGTAGTGGAACGACCGTGTAGTACCCAAACATTGCATTAGAGGGTTAAGCTTACACATTCGCCATCTATCGACATAAGGTCTATTGGTTTCGTCATGTCATAAACTCGTTTGGAAAGCAGTTTTAGTGTTGAAGTGTAAAATGAAATACAAATAATATATTTCTTTAAATGTAAAACAATATTATATTTCTTTATTCTAGGAGATTTTAAATATTATTATAATATTATGTTTCCTTATTATCTAGTTTGACTTTTGTATAAATAGGCAATATTGATTCAGTTATAAACTTATAATCAATTTAATTTTGAATTCACTAAATTACCTCTTTAAGTCTCATTTGCTCATAATTTCGACATCTAGCTCCTGAAGAGTTTGTGCAGGGATGACCTAATCCCTTCTTCATCATCGATTATAAAAAACAACTCATGCACTCCTCTTTCACGGAACACCTCCCTCTTAAAAAGTCTTATGAATGATTGTCAATGTGCCAAGAGGAAACATACTTGATGTCTCAACTGTCACACACCACATGAATGCTTCGCAAAACTCTTCAATCTCGTACGCTTGTCACGACGTTGCGGAATGAGGCCATGACTATAAATAACTAGTAAACACAACCAATATATCCAAGGAAATAAAATGAAATATTGATTTAATTAAAAAATCGGAATCATTTTCCCTAAACAAATTTTTTGTAAACATGTTATGTTATGCTTGTGAGAAATAATAATGGATGAGGCAAATTATTTTGTTGCCCCCACAACAATTAAAAAATTCCAAAGGACCACGTGGATTAACATTACAACATCTATTTAAATACAACGATTCTGTATTATGATAAAACGCAAACTGACACGAGTTTCATGTACAAAACTGTGGCTTAGTATTTTCAGTACCACGTGGAGTGGGCGTATTATGTTGGTGTTTGATGGAGGATCGGAATGCACCGAGGGATAAAACAATGGGCAGCAATGACAGCAACCACTGAGAAAGAGACCTGCAAATGGTGAAACAAAAAATGTGGCTAAAAATCGATCCCAACAATTTCTAAAAGCTTGTGTTAACGTACATGTGTCTCTTCCAAACACACAAACGGATAAAAACTTCGATCGGATTTGGAGGCCTTGTGGATAGCCTCACTGAAGTGGGAAATATGATCAATTTTTTCAAGTTTCTGGTACAGAATAATAATTTTGGTACTCTTGTAAGCTCTGTCATGCTGTTTGTTCTCTAAAATAGTGCAGGGCCCTTTTGTTGCACAATTTTTTCACTACTATATTCCCTATGTTATCCAAAATACACATTTATTTTCTTATTTTCAAAATATTATTCTCTATTATTCAATTCTTTTTAAACCCCTAGATTTATTAATTTAACTAAACACCCCTTAATTTTTTTTTTTTTTAGAAATTGATAAAAATACCTTAGCAACACACGTTTGCCAGATTCTAGCTACCACTATCAGAAACTGGTCGAAATCTAGTATAATAGCGTACTACTAGTTGGATCTGGTCGGTAGTGTATTGATCTAGCTTTTTTCGACTAGATCCACAGTGGATTTGGCCGAAAAAGGCCAGATCTTTGGTCGTAATTAGTCGTCAACGACGACCGAGATATGGCCATTGTTGACGACCAAATCGGCCAAATTTGACTGTCAATGGCCAGATCCACTGTGGATCTGGCCGAAAAGGTCATACGGCGCACGACCTACTAGATCCAGCCGGTCGTGCACCGATACGGCGACTCCGCCACCCTCCGACAGTGGTGGCAGGCTGTCAGTATTTAATGGGTAGGTGGTGGTGTTTTTGTTAATTTTTAATATTTTATTATAAGGGTATTTAGTAAATAAACAAACTTATGAGGTATTTTTGTTAATTTTTAAATCTTATATCGTAATAATTATCCAATTTTACTTTTTTTTTAAATATTATTCTAAAAAGTTTGAGAATAAACCAAGTGCACCCACAACAATTTGCTGGTTTTTGTTTTTACTAATACTAGTAGTGTGTTAAGAAAAGCCAACATATAAAGTTTCCTAGTCATAGAAAAGCCCTTGGTGCTGGTGGTGGCGCTGTAAGCAGCCACTATAATCTCTCTTACCTCTCCTTAATTGGTGTTCTGTTGGTCTAAAATGTATTGCTCTATTATGTGGAGTCATGTCAACAACAATATTGGCAACTTATTATGGAGGGAATTAATGTTTCCGCAATGAGATATCATATTAACCATTTATAATTATTTGTCTTACAGTGATTATCATGTTAACAAACATAAAATCCCAAGTCAAGAATAATACAAGACGTCCTTACTTAAGAATTTTCATTTTATGTTACATAGGTATTCATATTAAAAATCATTAATCATATACATTTTTAAATAATTTTTTTTTTTGTTTGGTGGTCTGAGGTGTCTGAGCCTTGCGCGTACTTCAATTAATTCTTTGAAGCTCTGAAATTAATGAGGTGATCGGAAGTGTTCGAATCAGCTTGTGTGCACTTCGATTAATCCCCTGAGCCCTGAAGTTAACTACCGAATAAACACTCTAGTGGCTACCCTTATTAGCAACCGAGGAGAATTAAACTCAAGACTTCTTGAGTAATACATCTAAGAGTCCCTATCGCCCCACCCCGCGAGTCAAGGTTGGTTAATTTTTATCAAATTTATTAAGAGAAATGAAAACCCATTGTATTTTAGAGGTTTCCCTTTATCATAGGAACAGGAAACTGTTGATAATCTTCTATACTAGAGCAACCAGCAATCTGATTGTCAAAATTTTGGCCGGACCGATGTGGCACTGTTCTTTAGCTCAAAAAGCAATCCTAATTCTGGCTCAGAGAATGAACCTGGAATATAATTTGGGGTATATGTAGTGGCCTAATGAATCTAACCGTCTTTTCTTCACTACATACTTATTAAATTGGAGCCGGCATAACTGGAGCCGGCATAACAACTCGTTTTAAGTTCTTAAAAACTCAATCAGTATTAAAATAAAAAAAACAAACAAACAAACAAACGAAAGCGACCTGAAATTAAAGGTGCGGCCATGTTTTAGGGGATGTAAAGATGCTGAGTATAAAATAATTATTCATAACTCAATCAAGTGAAGCATGTAATTATGTTTTGCTGCGTAGGATTTCCACATTTCCTTTTGCATATGTCAGGATAGATAGCAGTTTGTTTTTTTATTTAGTTGTTGAAGAATTGGTTTTCCATTGGCATCCCATCTCGAGGACAAACTTTCCAGTCAGATGAAGCAATAATTTGAGAGAAGGAAACTCTTTAGGAAACCAACAACTTTAGATAAAGATTGATGGTGATTAATGATAATGCCAACTACATAAAAAGGAATATTTTTATATAGAATTTGAAACGAAACGTAATTGCAATAATGGGTATGCACCGACTGGACAATAAAATTTTTTGGACAGAGCATCTTATCTTGGTAGCCCCACTGATGTACGTGTCTTGTTTATCAAATCATTGTTTTAACTTATCTCATATCTCACACGCTTCAACCTTCTTACTATTAAATTTGTTAATGAAAATGTTATCTTTATTGAAGTTTCAGTTGAGTTTGTCTAAGTCGCTAAGTTAATGGACTGTTACATATGTACATATATATAAGCGGTTGGATTCCCAGTACAGTTCAAAGTTTAAGTGTACGTGGTTCAACACTGTTAGACGTGACATTAGGTCCATGAAGGAAGACTGAGGAGGGGAGGAGTGTGGAAAATATTGTTTACTGCAAAATTTTGGCAGCAGAGGAAGGTTCAGACTTCAGTCTAAGCTGTCGTTGTATTCTGTTATGATTCACCAGTCAAAATTCGATGATGGGATGGCTGAAAACAGCCTCATTGACCATGGATGCAAGACAGTATTACATGAAAAATGTATGAAATATTCCACAAAGGCCTTCACCATTTTGCACCAACAAAATGCACTGTTCTTCCATTTGATGAATTACAAAATGACAACCAAGATACATGTTCTAACCTGCATACTTAATTGTGAATGAATGCTGAGTTTTGTAACCTGCATTCAATTTAATCAATTCTGCTGTACCTGTGGATATTATGGTTTTTAATACTGTCTAAAGGTTAGATTGAGGCGGCCAGGACGAAGATTAGACTGTTCTAGTAGAGATCCAGGAGCTGAGTTGGGGATGATGGATGACACACCATGAAATATATGTCTAGACTCACCGCCAAATATTAAAACATCCCCTGATTCCAAATCAATTGTTTCTGATTTGGCAATGTCCCTCTCATCCCCATAGAGGAATTCTGCTGAATCACCTATCGAGAAGGATACAACAGGTAATCCTTTCCAGAGACTCTCACGGCTCTCATCACGATCCTACGAATGAAGATACAAAAATGAGTAACAGAGAATAAAGTTCCTAAAACCCTTCAAACAATCAAGTCAATTGGGAAGCTTCAGAGTAACTAACACAGCACAAAAATCTTCAACTGACTCTAGGGGAAAAAAAAACTAAATTGCACAATGGGCAATAAGAGATATGTAGCTACAGACCTGATGGAGACCTAGTCGCCCACTGGTATTATAGAAGTTCACAATACATATATTTGGAGACATTGCAGGAAGTATGTCTTCCACATTGATTAGTAATTGTTTTTTAATCAGAGCATGTGCATCCGAGATTGCTCTCTGAACGAACTGATTAAATGCTTGAGGAATATGAGGGGGCTCACATCCATCAACACGCCTCTGTCTTTCATATTTTCGTGTCTGAGGATCCCAGTCAAGACCAAGGCAGATCATCTGCAGCCGGAGTTTTCCTCCACCTTTGTAACCAGGCTGATAAAATCCACCAGGTCCCTTACCAAGTTCTTGACAAGTCTTCACGATTTCTATCTGTAACATTTATAGATTTCCACAGAATTACCATATAAAATCAAGGGAATAGCAAACAAATAACTTTAATAAAAGCAAAATTTTCATATACACAACTTTTTTACTAGAAAAAAAGATTTAAAAACCTTAAAATAAACAATATAGTTCAGCTCATGCAACAATGAAAGTATTGAATAAAGATTCACCTGTTCAGTAAGGCTAAGGTATTGTTTTAAAAGAAACATCCCAGGCCTCAACACTTTTTGTCTAATGCTGTCATCAATCTGCTCCTCTTCATTATGGCTTTCCTTGTCTTCTATATAATGCCTACGCCCACTTCTGGATACACAAATATCAAATGGTCCGACATTAAACGAACCCGAACCTTTGGAAGAGTCTAACTTCTTATAACTCATTCCATGTTCGTACAAACCCAAACCTTCAAAAGAATCTAACTTCTTCTTATAATCCATTCCATGTTTGGAACAGCTCTTATAGGGAGATGTTTTTACTCGAGTGGACTTAGGCTTGCCCTTGTCCCGAAAAGGTTTAGAACTTGAAACACTTAAGTTCCCAGGTTGGGATGAATCCACGTTTCCTATTCGGCGCTCTGACCCCAGATCAATTCTCTTTTTCCTTCCAGGAAATTGTTTGACATTGGGCGACCCTTCAGAAAAATCCTCATTTTCAGTATCCATCTCACGCTTTGAGTGGCTTTGACTAGACGTAAATGCTTGGACATGAATAGAATTGCCCTCAAAGTGAACATCCTGATGGCTCATAGAACTTGTAACAGATGAGTTCTCAAGTTGAGATGAATCAATATTTCTATCAATCCCCATTTTCCCACAGTTAAACTCCCTATAATTACAGGCAATTTTACTCTCATCAATTAGTAAAAACTTATCTGATGGGCCTTGTATAAACATGAGCTGATACAAAAATGAAAAGCAACTTTATTTATCTAAGTTATAAACACTAAACAGCCATTATTCATAAAAAATTGACTTCTTCCTCGAAATTGAATTAAAAAGAAAAAGAGAAAAGGAAGAAAGAGACACTCACAGTTCCAAAATGAATTGATCGAAGAGTTCCAAATTGAATTGATCGAAGAGTTCCAAATTGAATTGACGCACAACTACTAGTTCTAGAACCCTTGAAACAGTTTCTCACAACATTCGTTTTTCCCGCCATCGCTAATGGCAAGCGACAAAGATTAGCCTCAATTGTACGGAACAAGAAGAACATTATACAAATCTAAGAGACAGAATACGGTTAAATGAAATACAAGAATGCGAGAGTTTGTGCGTGTTTGTCAAGCTAGGGTTTAGCCTTCATTTAATTAAATCCGTGCCGGTTCAGCTCACCAAGAACTTGATTTGAGAAGTGACAACGACGACGATTGAATTACAACGACCACCGCCATTCAACTGGGAAAACAGTGAGAAATCACAAAGGTTTTCATATTTTGGGCCACCCTAGGCCCAGCCAGTTTTGTCCATTTTATTCTTTTGGGCCCGTTTGTGTAAGTTCACGTTGTAGTAAGTAGCAACTGTAAATTGATTCGGCATTGGTTTAGAAATGGGATGAGATTTTTAATCCCTCAAATTGATCAGTATCCCTAATCCCTATTACTAAATACACTTTTATTTCATTTTAAAAAATATTTTTAATCATCATTTGATACAAAAAATGACCTTAATTAATTAAGTTTTGTGTTTGCACCCCCTTTCCCCAGTTTTAAATCTAATTAGGGTTTTTGTTTACACCAATTTTCCCCAATTTCAAACTTAATTAGGGATTCTGTTTACACCATTTTTAATCAAACAAATAAACATTTGATACAAAAAATAAAAAAAATCAATGATTTAGAAAATTAAGAGTTAGGTTTATGTAACAATTAAAAGTTACAAATTTTAAACAATAACGTAAAAAAAAAAAGCATGAGTGTATTTATAAATTATAACAATAATTTTCATTAAGGTTAAACTTGTTAAAACAAAAAAAAAAAAAAATTAAAAAAAGTAAATGATATATTTATCAATTTGATGGGAGCTAAAAATCATTTCCACCTGTTGATATGAAAATTCGCATCAACCCGAGAGATCCGATTGATCTTAGCAGAATCGGAATGAATGTGGACGTAATTACGGATAACCAGCAATTGAATAATTAAAGTCGTTTTTACTCCCTACTGTTTTCCGTTAAAAATTTCACCAAACTATTCAAACTTACAACTCGAATGTAGATAACAAAGAGAATAAGTTACTCTTAATGTTTACTACTTAGAAAAGGATCTTGTTAACGGATCGCGGTTTTTTTTTTTTTTCAATATTACCCAAATATATCGTGGGTAAATGTACTATCTCAATTCCATTCTAAGTTTATGCATCCTAATCCTTCAACGTACTAGAAACTGATGGAATCAACCTTATATTCAGTTAGACTTATAGAAGAAAGATTTAACTCGGTTAGATTTATAGAAGGGAGGATTATCCCTTACTAAAAGAGACCTAAAAGGCGTGTTGTTATTGGGGGGTCAAAAACCTCACGTTCAACCCTGAAGTTTCTGATATTCGAAATCTTTGTTGCTCGATATTTTACCGCTCTAAACTTTATTGCTCGATGTTTTACCGCTCGACTGAAATGACGAGTTATAAAATGGCGAGCTCTGAAATGATGAGCTATAAAATGGCGAGCTCTGAAATGACGAACTATAAAAACGAGCTCTAAAATGACAAGTTCTCAAAATGAGCTTTAAAATGACGAGCTCTCAAAACGAGATCTAAAATGACAAGTTCTGAGACAACGAGCTATCAAATGGGCTCTAAAATGACGAGCTCTAAAATTACGGGCTCTGAGATGATGAGCTCTCAAAACGACAAGCTCTCAAAAAGAACTTTAAAATGACGAGCTCTGAAACGATGAGCTTCGCACTTTCGTTAACGAGTTTGGAACATACCTCAGTATTTTAATGATAACTTGAGCTGTGGACCTAGGATTTGGACGATTCTTAAACCATTGAAAAACTTACTTGAAGGGCTACAACTCTTATTTTTAACATTTTGCCATATTTTATCATGCTCAGGTTTATACTCTCATCAACGAGTATGACGAGTTCTCTCTCTCATTAACGAGTTATGGTGAGTTCGTGCTCTCATTGGTGATTTATGGTGAGTTTGCACTCTCATTAACGAGTTATGGTGAGTTTGCGCTCTCATTAACTAGTTATGGCGAGTTTGCACTTTCATTTATGAGTTATGGCGAGTTCGCGCTTTCATTTACAAGTTATAGCGAGTTCGCACTTTCATTTACAAGTTATGGCGAGTTCACGCTCTCATGTACGAGTTATGGTGAGTTCGCGCTCTCATTTACAAGTTATGGCAAGTTCGCGCTCTCATTAATGAGTTATGGCAAGTTTGGAATATGCTTCAGTAATTTGACAATAACTTGAACTGCAGACCTCATATTTGGACGATTCTTGAACCGTTGAAAGCTTACTTGAATATCTACAACTATTATGTTTACTATTGTGCTAGACTCATACTTTATCACACTCAAAACTCCTTATTTGGAAGCGGCTTCAATTTTAGAGTTTGATTTGGTGACATGGGTTGTAGCCATGGCTGGTTCTTTGCGGTTGGAAGATGGAAGAGAAACTGTTGGAAAACAGAGAGAGCTCGAAATGTTCAAGCCCTTCCTCTAGTGCAAAACTATTGATACCATAATTTGCACCAACTAGAGAGATCCGATTGACCTTAGTGGAATCGGAACGGATGTGAGTGTGATTACGGATAACCAGCAATTGAATAATTAAAGAGAAAAAATGAGCGATGACAAGAGGTAATTTTTAAAGTGGTTCGGCAAGTTTGAATCTTGAGCCTCCATCCGCTGTTTCTCTTATTGAATGTGAATTACAAATAATGAATCTTTTCTTGGAATAATTGCGCAGCCCCTAGAAAACAAGTTATGATGGGTTTATATAACATCCATTTACATGATAGAGTTGAGGTAAGATTCAAATATATAGGATTAGGAAGTTGTATGATTTTCGGCTACTTTAGTTGGAATCTAAGTCAATCTGAATATCTTTCTTCTAAATTGAGCCAATTTAAATATCTTCTCTCCTAATACGGAATTATCCTCTCCGGATTTCCCGCACAACACCACCCATCCGTGGGTAGCCCATTAAGAGTTAAGTTTATGTAACAATTAAAAGTTACAAATTTTAAACAATAACATAAAATAAAGTATAGGTGTATTTATAAATTATAATAGTAATTTTCATTAAGGTTAAACTTGTTAAAAAAAAAAAAAATGATATATTTATCAATTTGATGGGAGCTAAAAATCATTTCCACCCATCCGTGGGTAGCCCAAATTGTTATGATAAATTGGAGATGGTATGAATAAACGCATAGTCTTAGGTTCGATTCCTTATATGAGCATCCATTATGTAGGTGGGGGCTGTGGCAGTAGGTTACTATACAAATCTCCTCCAAGAATTAGTTGAGGTACACATAAAGTGACTTAAATAACTTGATTAAAAAAAATCAAACAAAATCCCTTTCTTAGAAATGTCTACCACACAAAGTTTCGGCTCATAACGAAATTGTTGTTGAAAATAAAAATATGATATTGAAAATATATATTATATTGAGTTGATATATTGCAATTTTAGTGCAATTTCATGGGCTATATGGACGACCTACCCCTTTTGATCTATACCAATTAAGTGGTGCATCATAATCACGGTTGGTGAAAGTTTAAAGATCTCAATTGAATTCCCAATTAATTTCAACAACATGATATTGTCGAGCCTGAAGAAAACCAAAGTGTCCTACATATCTTTAACCAATTTTCATTATGGGGGTATGACCTTGTTAGTGATTAATTTAATTTAATACCCGTTTTATATGGTTTATCAACTCTCAAAGTGAGGTTTAAATGCCCAAAGATTTTCAAAAAGTATTAAAAATATCGTAAATATTTTTCCTTTTTATATTATTTATAGGACTAGTGATGATATTTTAACGAGATTTTTAGTAATTTTTAGGGGTATTTAATATTTTTCGAAAATATTTTTAGTTAATTTAGCATTTGATGGTGTTATTAATGTCAAAAGTTACTTACTTATTCATCGTTATTTAGTTACTATTTATAAATAACTAATGGATAATTAAAAAAATTATTTTATATTTATATGAAGAAGCCGAAGTTTGGGTTACTCTAATAATTTTTAATTATATTCCAAGAAATTTATATTTATACACTTTATTTCCATTATTTAAAAAAAAAATTATTTTTTATTAAAGTGATTTTCTGAAAATAGACTGTAGTGTAACAAAGATTGCTGACGTGGAATAAATACGTCAGCAAAGCGTGAGAGCAGTGTCAGCCGAGAGCCATAATGACACGTGGCAGGCAGAACCAGAACATCTATAATCGCACTCGAAAGGAGCCTGCAGCCCACTTATTAAAGAAGCACTCAATTGACCCTACTGGACCAGTGAATTGGATCACCCCTGGCCCCACCTCTTTTCTGCTAACTCCCCGCAACTCTTCCTCTTTGCACTCCATCACCTTAAACTACTCGCAGTAACTCGCTACATTACCTCGATACTAACCAAACTTCAATTATTTTTAATACTTTTTGTACGGTTAATTTTAGGATTAATATAACGCCTATAAAGATTATATAAAATGACATGTTAAAATATGATTGGTTGGATTAATATAAAAATTAATTTAATAAATACATATTAAATGATGATAAATGATTTTTATATTAATTTATCCAATCATATTTTAATGTGTTACTAGATTTTGTATAAATTTTGTATAAATGTAGTATTATTTTTACAAAATTATTCTAATTGTAAGGATAATCGAAAAAAAAAAAAAAAATCCTCATATGCTTACCACTTTACTGATAACACCGAAAAAAATATAATAACTCACAATCTGAATATTTTTATTAAATATTTACCGTTTTAGAGACAATATAGAAATGTAATTATATTTTATTTTTTTTGTGCTATCCGAAAGCGGCAATCATATGGGAGGTTTTTGTTTTTTAGATATCCCATTAATTTTATTTTCTTACGAGAAATGATAATTAAGTATCAAACGTATCAACGATTTTCAGAAAATATCAGATATCCCTAAAAAATACTAAGGGTTCGGTTGGGAGTTTCATGGTAACAGTTATAAGGATAAACCACCATAACAGTTTTGAAAGGTTTTTAGTAGCGGTTATGCTTAGAAGTTTATTTTCCAACGGTTCTGACAATTTTTTAAAATGATAAATTTACATATATGCCCATAAAAATACTTCAACTTCAACTAGCACTTGAGAGTTTTGTTTTTTCAATTATAAGGTAAGAGTTATTTATTTGTTTTATACTTATTAATATTTTATAACTTCAAATGTGATAAAATCTCCTTATCCTTCTTCGCCATTCTTTGTAACATCTGAAATGATTGAAAATTTGTAGCTTAATTTCTCCAAGAAAGTATCTAGAAATGAGATTTTAATAATTTTTTTTTTTATGATTGCTTAAAATTATTTTATATTTAATATGGTTGGAGACGCGCATAATATGTTAATTTTTTTTTTTTTTGGGATATAATTGGGATAGTTTTATAGTGGATATGATATTTGTGGAATAAAATTTTCAAACTAACCAAAAACACCCCATAAAAAAATTGGGGTGTTCTACAAACCCATCAAAAATATATTACACTGGTTCTGGGGGGTTTTTGAGGCAATCAAAACTAGTGCATAAAAAATCTGACAAATATTGGTTTTAGAACACTTTAAAACCAATCTAATTAAAAATCCCTCAAAACCAGTGAAAAAAAACTCCTAAACAGACCCTAAAACTAAAAGACTTATATAATATATCATAAAACCCTATAAAATATCAAATGTAGTTTTCGAAACTCGGTGTGACGCATGAGTTGGAAAATAAACCCTTTTTTTACAAATAAAACTTTACTTCAGAGAATTAGAAAACATATTTTAGAAATGTTCTGTTTTAATTTAGATAAACAAAAAATGTTTCCGTTTTTAAAAACGCTATTATAAATGGAAGTGCAAATTTTATGGTGTACAAGTAGAACAACCTCACAAAGACAGGCTGTGTACAACAACCACCCTTTGGTACGTTACTTTTTTGATCCTTTAATTAGTAAATTTATTAAACATAATTTTGACAAGTATGAATCCTCACGTCATGATGTTGCTGAGTAACCCCACTAATGAATTGAAAACGCATTTTGTTGAGACAAATAACAAAGCCAAAATGAAAGCTCCCATCCTTTTTGAGAGTTAGGGTAGTGGGATTAGGAAAGTGCTCAGCACAGTACACTCATGCCTACCTCTTTCTTCACTTTCTTCTTCTTCCCATCAATATCCGCCGGGAAATCCTAATGCACGGCGAATCCACCAGCCGGAAAAACCACCCAAGTTTATGTTCAGACTTCTTCTTGTTTGGTTTTCTCATTGTTTTCTTGTTGAGTTTTCATCATGGGTGTTGTAAATCAGATATTCATAATGGATACAGGTTAACGCTTGCTGTACCTGTTGAATATAGTGTAGGTTTTATTGGGAGAGCTTTTCTGATGGAGACTAATCAAATGGCACCAAATTTTAAAGCTGCATTGAGTGTTGAAGCCGTTAATGGGAGATACTCTTGTTCTTTAGAAGTTTTTCTTGGAGATGTCAAGGTGTGGAACTCCGGACATTATTCACAGTTTTATGTGTCAGAAAAATGTGTCCTCCAACTCACTGAACGCGGGGATTTACTGTTAAAAGGTCCAAAGAATCGAGTTGGGTGGCGAACTGGGACTTCACGACAAGGTGTGGAGGTAATTATAATTTAATTAAGCATGATAAAACCAGTCATTTTTTTCTCATAGTATTTGATATCTCTTGTTTCTTTCATTTGATGCAGAGATTACAGATTTTAAAGACGGGTAATTTAGTTCTATTGGATGCACTGAATCTTGTAAAGTGGCAAAGTTTCAATTTTCCTACTGATGTAATCCTTTGGGGGCAGAGTTTAAATGTGGCCACTCGCTTAACTTCTTTCCCCACCAACTCAACAGAATTCTACACGTTTGAAATTCAACATGACAAGATTGCTTTATACCTTCACTCAGGTAAGTGGAACTATTCTTACTGGGAATTTAAGCCTTCCAAGAACAGAAACATCACCTATATTTTTTTGGGTACAAAAGGCTTAGAGATCTACAATGATAAAGCTAAAAAAATCGCTCAGATTTTTTCATCACCAATAGACCCTCTGAGATTTTTAACACTGGGAAACAAAACAGGAAATTTAGGACTCTATTATTACTCAGACGATGAGCATAATTTTAAGGCAGCATTTCAAGCAATTAACAACACTTGTGATCTTCCCCTAGCTTGTAAACCTTGTGGCATATGTACTTTCTCCAATTCTTGCTCTTCTATTCATTTGTTAACACAAAAAGACAAGGGTAATTCTGGTTGTGGTGAAGGAGCTCCTGGAGAAGTTTTATGTGGAAGAGAAAAGGTTGAAATGCTTGAACTCCATGGAGTTACCAGTGTGCTAAAAATTGCTCCTAAAAGGGTTAACGTTAGCAAGGATTTATGTGCAAATTTGTGCATAGATGATTGTGAATGTGTTGCTGCATTATATTCTTCTGATGTAAGAGAATGCAAAATCTATGGAGTGGTTATTGGGGTAAAGCAAATTGAGAGGGGATATGGATTGAGTTATATGGTGAAGGTTCCAAAAGGTACACAGACAAGCCATGGCAAGTCAAATTTGAAAAAGTGGGTTATAATCTTGGTGGGAGTGGTTGATGGTTTGATTATTCTACTTGTTTTTGGAGGGCTCACTTACTATTTGGTTCAGAAAAGAAGAAAAAAGTTATTGGCTACTGAGACTGACAACAACACTACTTGAAAACATTGTAATTTTTTTTCTTTTTTTGGTTATTTACAGAGATAAAAAAAAACATTTTTTTGTTTGTTTTCTACATACTGATGTTCACAGAAAAGAGTTTATTCAGTTCGAATTTTAAAGTTACATTTACTAGCGTAATAAAGTCCTATTAATATGCACAAAATAAAGACCAAAATCATCAGCCCAAATGGGTGCATGTTTCAGCAAAGTAAATGACAAAAAACAAGTGATTTGAGCTCAGATGCGCACGTTCTCGCCTTGTTAAAGAGACGACAGAGAAAGACCCTTTGTTTCACATGGGCGCACAATCTAAATCACTGCTCGGTTTCTATCTGCCTGACAGTTTAACCATAGTCTTCTTTTGTTGATGTAACTTTCCCATGTGGGACAAGTGGGTTCAGTCATCCTCTTTCTGCAGTCTTAACGAACACTTTAAACGACAGGCCGTTTTCAGATCCCACTGTTAAAAAGTGAAAAAGACGCACAGAATATGATATATATTGGTCTGCTAAATTCCCCGATACCTGAGCATAGATCCTGTATTAGAATCTATGGAAATAAGGTGAAAATAACTAATCATAACTAGATAGTGTGACGGAGAAGGAGGTTTGCATTATTCTTGAGTTCTCGGTTCAAACTTTAGAGTATTTTCACAATAACATTGGTATTTACTTTTTTTTTGGTTTGTAGAATGTTTAATAGATTTAGAGATTAGTTAAGGTTAAGTAAGTAATCTAAACATCTGATATCTAAAAAAAACCACAAAAAAAAAAAAAAAAAAAAAAAGAAGAGCAACTATTATTCTGCATTAAATTCTGCCTAATTTAATCTCATAAATGATACTAAATTCAAGGCGTTCCTTCATATTTCAAATGGTCCAAAAGCCTCGCATAGGTGGAAAAGGCTAACATCGACATAAAGTTTCTAATAATATTTAAGGTAGAATAAAATATTAGTGGGCGGGTTTGGATTAAGGTGGAATAAATGGGTTGGGTTAGGCAGGTCAACCTTAACCTGACCCGTAACGAAGTAAGTTGAACCCGATAGTAACCCCGGACAGGTCGAGTTACAAATGGCAACCCGCAATCTAGCGGGTTGCTGTTTTGTCTCTTTAAAAGAGACCCGCCAACTCGCTGGGTTGGCTGTTGTCAACCGGCAGGTTGATGTTATGGAATAACGGCACACTCGTGGGTTGACAACAGCCAACTAGTGGGTTGGCCAAAAAAAAAAATTATTATTTTTTAAAATTACCTTTACCCTTGAAATATAGCATTTTATAGCCATTGGAGGAGTCTTTCATAATTTTTCTTTCCCTTTTTTTTTTTCTATAAATTGGCCCTAAACTCTACATTTTTCTCACACTCAAATCTCTCATTCTCTCATATTCTTTAACTCTAATCTCTCAATTATTCATTTATTTCTAATCTCTTTGTTATCAATTTGCTCGTATTTTAATTTTTGCAATTTTTAATTTATATTTCCAATTTTCCAAATTCCAAATTCTAAATTCCATATTCTAATTCTCTTTCTTTAATTTTTATTTTTTCTACATCAATTTTATTTTCAACTACAATGGATAGTATTTCTCTCTCCAATTACAATGATGAAGGAAACTACTATCCAGTCCTAGTCCAGCTAATTTTACTAACATAAAGGAGGAGGAGATTCAAATAGTCCCGCTTTCCATTCTCAGAATTCGATACACCTCAAAATATGCCCCCGATTCCAACAGCTCCGGTGGTTCTAGAAATCGTCCCGTAATCATCGTGCTCGTCCAACTTCATCTCAAGCTGAGGCGGGATCATAACTGCGTTGAAAGCGAAGACAGCACACAAAGACGTTTGGGCGCATTTCAACAAGTTTTACGAGACAGAAAATGACGTTCAGTCAAGAAAGCGAGATGCAAATACTGTGGCAATATTTATAAAGCTGATTCGGTAATGGTACTAGTACTTTAAAAAGGCATGCTAATAAACATATAATTAACATGGAAATAGAGAAAGCAATCAAACTCAAAATAATATGGGTACTAATTGGCGTTATAATTCTGATGTATAAGGGAACATTTAGCTTTATATATTGCTGCAACTGATCAACCTATTAATATGGCTGAAGATAAATATTTTGAAAGATTTGTTCAAAATTCATTTTTTCTAGGATTTAAAAGTTATTTTAAAACTGCAACTAGAAATGATTTAATAAAATTGTTTAAAAAAATGAAATTAGAATTAAAAAATAAAAATACATACTATCATGTTTGTGTGGCTCTAACTGCCGATATTTAGAGTGGTAGAGCTAAACAAGGTTATATTTGTGTGACTAGTCATTATTTTGATAATGAATGTAAATTAAATAAATCTTTATTAGGATTTAGATTAATGGAGTTGATTATAGTGGTGAACAAATTATAATAAAATTGTTGAAGTTTTAGAAGATTATGATGTGTGTAGTAAAGTGATAAGTTTAACTTTAGATAATGCAAGTTCTAATAGTAAAGCTATAAATAATTTTCAAAGTAATTATCCTTTATTTAACAATTTGAAGTTTTTTCACCAACGTTGTGAATGTCATGTTATTAATTTAATTGTGAAAAGTGGTATGAAAAATTAAAGAAATATTAATAGAATTAGAGATTGTTTAGTTGGATTACTAGTAGTAATAAAAAAAATGTTGAATTTCAAGTGCTTGTATAAAATCAAATATGTCTCCTAAAACTTTTGCATTAGACATGCTGTTAGATGGAATAGTACTTATTTAATGCTTGATTCATGTTTACTTATGTAATATAATTAGTTATTTTGTAGCAAATAATAGATGTCTCATTATTTGGTAGAAAATTATTGGCAATAGTTTAAGTATTTCATTCTTTTTAAAACTTTTTACTAATCCACTTCACAACTTTCTGGTGTATAATATCCTACTAGTCCATTGGTAATACAATGCAATTATAAAATTTCTGAGTTACTTATAAAAAACAAAGACAATGTAATTTTAATGCACCAATAAAGGCAATGAATTTTTTTAAAAAAAAAATATTGGGAACCCATTCTTTTTTTATTGTTTAGGTGCTATATTTGATCCTAAAATTAAATTAGCAGGTTTAGAAAATGGTTTTGACAATTTATATGAAAATTTACAAACCGAAGTATATGCCAATCAAATAGGAGAGGTAAAAAATACACTTTTCGAAGTATATTCAGTATGAAAATAGGTATGGGAACCCGCAAAGAGGCGAAACATCCACAAAAGCTGCATCAGAAGAAAAAAATGAAGACTTTACTCTTGGGGCGCACTGAATAGGCCGAAGAGGACCCGAATCCGAAGCACAACCTCCTCTTCAGAAGCTCCACCAACAACAACAACTAATATATCGTCTTCCATGCAGTGCAGAGTAATGAGCTTCAACAATATTTGACAACCCCTGAAATGTTACTAGTAGATCCACAACAGAGAGCCAACATTGATCTCTTAGACTATTGGAGAGCCAGAAAATGTATTTTTTGGTATTATCAAGACTTGCCTTGGATGTTTTCGCTGTTCTGCTCAACCGTTCATCCGAACAAATATTTAGTGGCAAGTGGAAGAATTTAAATGAAAGGAGGACTAAACTTTCACCACAAAGATTGAAGTTCTCATATATCTTCGAGATTGAGAACGGTCGCGCCATCAAGGTCAATACGAGGTTGTCGATGATACTTTAATAGAATCATTTCAATTTTTAATATAGATGATACGGATGAGGGAGGTCCTAGTGAACCCCCAATAGTTGTTTTATAAATTGTAACTTGTAAATTAATTGTCAATTATTGCACTTTTTTTTTTTACCAAGTTTTTGTCCTATAGATTTTCTTGGTGAGGGTTTAACGAGGCAAAATTATTGTAATTTTTATTTTATTTTTAATAAATGAATAAATTTAATTATTCTTATATTACAATTTTAATGTACTAAAATTGAATTAATATTTGGAATGTTAACCAAAAAAAAAAAAAAATTTAATTTAATTATTGATATTTGAAAAGAAATTAACAATTAACTAAAAACAATTACATTTATTCATTTATAAATTGTTAATTATTCATTTGAAAAGTTAATTAAACATTTAAACTTAAACAAAATTAAAAAAAAAAAAAAAGAGGGTTAACCCGGCCCAACCTGCGACCTAACCCGACGGGTTAGGGTTGACGGTCCAGGTTGGGGCAGCCAATTCCCTAACATTGGTGAGCCTAACCTGGCCTGCCAATGTTACCGGGCGGGTCAGGACCGACCAACCATTAATAGCAACCCGTTGTGGGTTGGGTCGGGTCTGACTGAGCAGGTTGCTTTTCCACCTCTAGTTTGGATCCATTGACATAATATTTTAAGGTCACAATAAAATATTGGTGGGTGGGTTTGGATCCATGCAAAGTTGAGTCCGCCCATTTTAGGCCTCTTTCAGTTACAACATTCTCGATGGAAAGAATAGAATATAGATCGTATGCTTCAATGGGCTGCCAATTCAATATAAAGCCACGTTTTTTTTTTTAGCCTGGACCAATTCCAAGTGGGACAAATTTACAAAGAGCTCTTGGGTTTTTGGATCATCAAAAATCAAACCCACCACGCCATTCAGAGTAAAAGAGGAACCCTAAATCATTCAAAGCCTGGCATGCATTAATAAGAGTGGTCATTGAGAGATTTATTTGGTCATCAACTTCAGAGTTTTGAGAGATTAATTAAGGTGCATACAAACTGGCCTAAACACTCTTGATCACCAAAAAAAAAAAAAAAAAAAAAGGAAAAATCCAAGTAGGAATTCATTTTATATAGTTCTTTATCGTTTCAGTCACTGATTGATGGATTACACAAGCTTCGGCAATGTGCATTGCAGCAGCATCGATCATAAAGATAAAAGAGTCTTTCTCCTATTTTGTGGGGGATTAAAACATCAACTTAAAAAGTAATTGACAATCTTAGCTAGCTGTCTGGTGGGCTAGTGGTCCTACATATAGATGATCCCTGATAAAAGATCCAACGGTTATCATGCAGGATAGTTTGTTTTCATCAGTGGATGTAATTTGCTGGGCATCCCACATGTGAGGAATTGAGATCGAGACTCCCTTTTGTACAATATACTCCATCAGTTTTCTTTCTCTTCCTACATATATTTCCAATCAAATTGTTCTCTTTCGAAACTAAAACACAGCCCGTGAACCTTATTGTCACCAAGTCTCACGTCACAACGCGCTTCTGTGTATCAGTTGTCATACACTCAAAGACCCCACAACAAAACCCTTTAACCATCTATAGATATACAGTTCCTTCCCATACCAGTTCGCTACAATTAAGAAATCAAAACACAACCCTGAAAGTCCTAATCATGGTTCACCATTCTAGCACGATGAAATTAACCAAAGAAATTTCTATTTCTATTTCCTCTTTAGGGTTTTACTTTTCAACCGGATGGATATGAACGTGTATTTTCATGATACATTATTATCTGGTGTGCTGTTTGAGTGAAAAGTCTTATCAAGAGGAGGTTCTCGTGTTTGGGAGGTTGCAGAGAGTTATATAATATTAGTTGTAAACTTCAATGTCGACAAATACATATAGCTGTCAAGGGATTGTGAAGCTTGATTGAGAGCATGGTTTTACCTTGTCTGCATACAAAACTAGTGCTCACCGATATATAATAAAAAAAGATAAGGATCCAGGAAAGTTAAGCTACTTTCCAAATAGAAAGGGACCTGCTTATTAATTAAAAGTTATTCTAAAAAGTGAGAGAGTTGCATCAAACTTTAACAAATTAATGTTTTTTCAAATCATGCGTTTGAAAACCTAGAACTTTCCCTTACCATGTAACGAAGTTGCAGCGGATAAGAAGTAACAAAAAGGCTATAAACTTTAGAGTATAAACGTCAACAGCACCAACGCAATTGTTATCTGTGGTGGGGTTTGAAGTACAATTTGATTTTTCTGATATAATATAAGTTGTCCCCATAGCATTTGAAACAATCAGTTTATGTGATCAGCTTGATGCAGTTGGCTTACATGAAGCCATAATCGTTATGTAAATAACACAATTTCAAATGATTTGATTATCTTATTGTCTGTACTCTGTAGTGGCATCCATTTTCTGCAAAAGCTATGAAATTGATTAAGTAAATATTTATTCGATCGATCAGTCGACGGGTTTATTACCAGTGCTTAGGGTTTAGTTTTTAACCTTTGTAAATGAGTTCCTACATCGGGGTCTAGGGTATTGTCTCTCGGTGTTTCAAACTTCAAGGGATTGGAATCTCATTTGCCAGAAAAGTAGGTTCAGAAAAAAAAAGGTTCTGTCACGAGACACCTTTCCAAATTAGCACTGTTTGTAGCAATATCCGTATTGTCTGATTGGACATTCAATCATGCATTCTCTTCACTGTGTATTTATATTTTGCGCGTAAACGTAATAATCAGAAAAAAATGGTCTACAGATCAGCAAGGCACCAACAATATGCCTCAACTGTTAATTATATTACTCTTAATTTCTCTATGCAACATGGTAAGGACAAGTATATATATGGCGTATCAAGCTTTACCATGTAATATATATGATGGTTTTTTATTAACCCCAGTACCATAGTCTCTAACAACAAAAATTATATTCTCTAAACATGGGATGAAAACAATCAAATGGAGAAAAAAATTGCCTCGTTGAAGTCTATTAAACCTACCTATCGCTTGCATTTAATGATCTATAGATCAGTGTCAAACGAACAATAACTACAGGTTTTTGGAGAGAATATCTATAGGTTTTGTAGATGCAATCAATATTGATTTGTTGAACGATGAGTGAATGGCGTGTTACGCCCGTTCTACCTAATATTTTTCCTTTTGATTATAATTGATTTTGTGACAGCATTATGCTGATAAGCTCGAAGTCACCTTCAAATGACGAGCGGTGGCAGACTGTTTTTATCGAATTTCCAAGACCAAAGTTGTCCAATTATCAACCGATTCATCCAGCCTAAAGGCGGGAGATTAGAATTTCTTCGAGTAAAATACAAATTAAATGATCAAATTTACAGCAACCATGACAAACAAGTCATCATTACACCTAGACAACCTCGCCATAAAAAAAGAAAGAGAACGTTAACACGTGTTGGTGATTATTCTTCAATTACTTACTCTTCTTCTGCATGATGCCATAGAATAATGCATTTCATGCGGGCCATCTTTCTTGCTTGTAAAAGTAGGAAGAAAATTTTGATTTTATTATCAGAAGTTTGTGAAGTTTCACAATGTTAATATTCAATAAACAATCATGAGTTATAATCTCAAGATCCTAATAGTAAAGTAACTAAATAATTACTTTTATATATATATGCATATCTGAGTTATAAATTAATATGAAGAAAATAATACTAGAAAATTATCGGAAGAATACATACACATAATATAGCTCCTATAATCCTAAAGGACTAGGAGCGAGATTGGAACTTGGGCAGGAGACAAGGTTGGAGCAGTCTGTTTATGTGGTGAATTGTTTTGTTGTGATGATTAAAGAGCACACATGTGAATAGGGTACAAACAGAGATTTGTTTGTGGGGAATGGAGACAATTTTGCTAGAAGAACGGGAAATTCTAATATGAAATCCCTTTTTTTTAATAAAAATAGTAATTAAATCCCCTTTTTTTATACACGTTTGCCTATGTATATATATGCAGATCATATACATTAAAAAGTATCGTGAGTGACTGTAAAGGACATTATTTCCCAAGCTTAATTATCTCTTATATTACCAATGTCTCCTACATTAATTGCTTTGTTAGGTGTCGAAAATGACAATCCTCTTGTCTAATCTCTTCAACTAGACAGCATTTAATCTGAAGAAGCATGATTAATTATCGGAAACATGCACACCTTACTCCTAGAAAACATCAGCATCTATATTTGTTGAGGCACAAAAAAATTGCTAAATACACGTAATGGGATATCAATACTGGCTTTTTTTTTTTTGGGGGGGGGGTTGGGGTAAGTAAGTAGTATCATTAAGAGGGAGAAAAATTATACAGAGAAACTATAAAAAATCAACCATCCTGACTTAGGACAATGTCTTGGATAGGAACAAAAACATAAGTCTAATCGACTCAGAACCTAAACTCCTCTTGTTTATTTATCTTAAGCATAGAATGATAAGAGATAAGAGGAGGAGAGTAAGCAAAGAAAGACAAAGACAAATATATTCTACCACAGGATATGTCCTGTGATAGGATTAAAAAAAAAACTTAAAAAACCTACCTAAGGATAAGCCTTGGGCTAGGAAAACCTATGTTTATGAGATGTTGGTTTTGAAGATAGTCATAGGTATTCAGTATTCTATTTCGACAATCTAACTAATTAAAACAAACCGCTGTATTAATTAATCTTGATACACAATAAATTAACTGTTTAATCACTGATTAGAGTAGCTGGTCTGGAAGGGAAAGTGGATGATAGGTAGATAATAGAAGAGCCAAAGTTCTTACCCATTTCTCGGGAAGAAAAGTAAGAGATGACAGGTGGAGGGATGGAGGGGACTGGTGGTAAAATTGTTACGTTTTAGGAACGCGTTTAAGTGAAAGAATCTGGACTCGTGATAAGAGAGAAGAGATGGAATGGAACAAATTGTAGAGACGTATATATCGAAAGAAGCGAAGGAAGCGTCAAGTTTTGTTTAGCTGTCAATCCCTCCAAAACAATTCTAATGCTCTTTCTCACGGGGAATTGTATTATCTCTTTCTCTCTCTCTCTCGCCGTCACCCTTTTGTCCCTCTCCCATTCAATATTTCAGTTTCACCTTCACCTGCTTAATGCCTCATTCTATATACCTAAATGCCCCTCCACATTCTCATTTCTTATCCTACTATAACTTCAATTGGTTGTTCTATTCATTAACACATATATTTTTGTATGTCAATAGTTGCTGCTTGTTCATTTCCATGGATCAAAGAGTATATATATAACTCAAAGATCTGATCAAATAATATTACTATAATTCGAGATAAAGTAAAAGTATATACTTGGACACTATAATGGAAGTGTGTTGACTTAAGAGTAAACGCTAAACGTCTTTATTATAGACGCTTTGTTCTATCTCTACTTATGAAAAGTCAAGTCGACACAATAAGTATTGCAATGTGGAGAATTTTGCTTGGAGAAATAGAACGAAGATGTATTACAAGTACAAAATCTACGAAAATTTCACATCAATATATATATATATATATAAAGTAGGTGAAAAATTATATTAGTTAAATACGAAGCTTTGAATTTTTTTTTTTTTCATTTTTGTATCTAGTTGAATGGGAGGATTTAAACTTTACACTTTTAGCTCTAACATCATGTTAAGTTATCATCCTACTAAAAAAAATTAAACTAATAAGTAAAATTCAATCTTATATTAGTCCAATAACCATTAATGACGTCATTAAATAAGTTTACCGTATTTATTATTCACACAAAGTGATAATTTTCCCATATTCCCATGTTTTTATGATTGTCATTTTTAATGGGCATTTTGATTGATGTCGATATTGCCAATAACCATCACATGTTCTTTGATGAATCGTGCTGATATGCTGATCACGTATATAAACTTCGAGTGGCGGTGAATATTGACTCTTTTTAATAAATGCAAGTGAAATGAGTTTCATATTTTTATGTGCATTGTCACTGTCAGAACCCTAGTAATTTTACGAATGAATCCGGGGCTGAAAGTGATGAGGTCAATGTTGTAAATTTACTATGATCAATAATATTATCTTGTGGGGAACGGAGGCACTCATGCAGGAAACAAACAAAGATATCATTTGGGTTCGTGAGCTCGTCTTCTTTAAAAGCCCCTAAAGCTCACTGCGAAAAAATGGGGAAAGACAGATCAGCCGGGAGGTAAGGAGAAGCAGAGAAAGCATGTCTTCTAGGGGGCGAAAGAAAGCCACTTTATATGAGAAGTTGATGCAGCTTCGCGATGTTACCAACTCTACTGCTGTAATAACCCTAATTTATATTTCTCTAAACACTCTGTTTCGCTGGGTTTTCTTCTCTTTCTATGAATATCTCTCCCTCTGTAGATTGAGCTAGATACCCTAAAGCAGCCTATCTACAGATAAAATAAATGCTGGAAACGAAATCAAGAAGGGTTCCTTTTTTTAAATAGATTCTGGGTACTCCATCAAGAATGAGACTTAGAAAGTGAAAACTTTTTATAAAGTTGATGGTACGACCAGGGATCAAGTACTGTTTGTTTTATTTATTTAATTGTTGATGATTTTTTTTTCTTTTTTTTTTAAATTCTTGTTTTGCAGCTGAACAAAACCTCAATCGTAGTAGATGCAACCAAGTATATAGAGGAGCTGAAGCAAAAAGTGGAAAGTCTGAACCAAGAGATCGGGACCTCAGAAATTTCAACGGTCCAAAATTCATTACCTGTGGTGCATATTAACAACAATCTCATCCTTATTTCTTCTGTTGTTATTTAGCCTTGAATATGAAATTTACACACACAACCACTCGTTTGCATATATTCAAATTACAAGAGTACTAACTAACATTTATTCCGTTTGTTGTACTTCAGCAGGTTACTGTTGAAGCCCTAGAAAAGGGTTTCCTTATTAATGTTTATTCAGAAAAGAATTGCCCCGGTTTACTCGTTTCCATACTGGAAGCCTTTGAGAAACTTGGCCTTGAAGTTCTTGATGCTAGGGTTTCTTGTACTGACAGTTTCCAACTAGAAGCTGTTGGAGGAGACGTAAGCAACCAATTTTCTTTTTTTACTTTTGAATTTCGAAGTGAATTTTTCATATTTCCACTGCTTGCTAGTTGTAAATTTATAATCAGAAAAGGTGCACATTATTTAATTGTATATATTTGACCGAAGCATCCTGTAGTTCTGTACTTAGGAAAACTATTTCATCTTTGTGAGTTGTACAATCTAGTTTTGAACCACACATTTCGGATTTTAATCACACATACTGACACAATAATGTGTGGTTAGCATTAGGACATTATTTCGCTTTATCCGTATTTGTATTTATATAACTGGATATGTCTATCCTGTGTGCTCTTTCATTGATTAACCAATGTTCTTGGATCTTGCAGAGTTCTGAAGGGCAAGCCGAGGGCATGGATGCTCAGGTTGTGAAACAAGCAGTATTGCAGGCTATCAGTAATGTACAGGAGTGAAAGCCATTCATGAGCAAATGTAATACATTGAGTTTTGCTTCCTCTTCGACGTCTTCTTCCCTTCTTGAATCCAAAAATATGTTATTCAATGAAGGGAAGATTCAGTGCTTCTAAGAAGTAATTAAGTTACCAGTTCAATCTAGAACCATTAATGATATCTACATATATGTAAGTGTTTAGCCCAGTTTGAGATTTTCGTTTTTTGATTTCTACACAAGGAATATATTGCTACAATGAAACTTTCTAATTGTTTTATTCTTAGCAATAACATTAGATCAAAAACCTTCCTCGCCAGCATGAGCTACACCCTTCAAGATATTGGGTTTCCTAGTTATGAGTCAAATCTCTAAAATGTGGATAAAAATTGAAGCATCGTGAAGCGTGGGAAATAGTACAGTTGAAACTAAACTAGTTCCTCGTTTAAAGTATCTTAATTACTCTCAAATAGAATAATTCATCATTTCAGCAAGTTTGAACCATATTTTAACTCCTTCTTATCTGTCTGGTTCTATGATTTTTCCTTTGGAGATAATTAAGGCGTCAAGGTATTGCATAACATGCATAAATCTATGTTGACTTTCACCTCAAATAACATTGGTCAATACACGATTTTCCATAATTAATTCCAACTATGTTTGTTTTGTCATATCATTTGGATAGAAGCATACAAAGTTTACTCATTAAACAAATCTCGAGGGAGAAATATACATTCAATTGGCTCGTGAACATATAATAAAAGTAACTTTTTTATGATTTGGTAATATATTGGGGCCGTCAATGCATGCGCGCACCTGCTTAATTACTATAATATCAACCCTTCGATTATTATAAAATATTTCTCCAACTAAGAAACAATACCGGCTGCTAGTTTTCTGGTAGAGATTCAGCGGTACCAGCATTTTCATAAAGGTTAATTTCTAAACAAAACAAAGTAGATCAATTCAAGAGAATTGTTTAAGAAATGTCAATGAATTTCACACTTATGCTACAAGTGGGAAATGAACAGGTTGGCAACCGTTGTGGTAATGCAATGAGCAAATGAGAGCCAGAAAGAGAACATGCACTGTAGGAAATAGTATATATATTCTAACATAAATGTTTGTCTTCTCTATAAATTCTTGCTATTCATCTTGCCTATCATTTTTTAATTTCTCGGAATGGGAATTATTTATCCTTAACCAACTCCAACAACTGAAGTGCTAGCTTCATCATTATGTTGTTTCTGTTTGGTATTGCATGAAACAAGATGCTTACGTACTAGGTGAAACAATCTAAATAGCGTTTGAAATCATTGTAAAGTTAACCACACATAAATAATGAAAAATAGTAAAGTTACAGAACGTACGATTTATCCTGGTTCACTCAAATCTAGACTACATCTAGCAAATTCAATATTATTGTAGTAGTACCTTTCCTCTCTCGTTACAATGAATGTATTTGTTATGATTTTTTACATCATTCATACAAGAGAATAATATGTTTAAATATTAGTTTAAGAGAAGCCCTAAACTACTAGGACTTTTATTCTTACAGCAAACCCTATTAAGAGTTCAATTCCTTATAGGAATCCTATAACGGTTATTCATGATCTCTCGAATGCTTCTGCTTGACCTATTAACGTCGAAGTAGTAGTTCGAGGTCAAAGCTTCGAAAACCCCTAAATGTCAAAGTGGTCGCCAACTCCAACACAAGGTACGAGATAAGATATTCTGTAAACGAGAAAAAAAATGAAGATCATTGCGGAAGTGTAACAGCAAAAATCAAAATTCGTGATTTCATAAGGCTACCAACAAGATGGAAACAAGAATGACAGGGGTGAAATGATTAGAATCTTGGAATGATCAAGAGTGGGGGCACTTCAAGGAATTATATATGGGAAAAAAACCAATTGAGAATTACTATATATATATACAGTTTTAAATATGATGTATTTTCTTATCTTTAGGGTGGATGATATTAGAGTTATTAGAAGGAATCTTAAACTGAAATGATGAAACTATGTTTGAGGAACTATTAATATTAATTAGACACAAATAAAATGATTATTGATGAAAGGCTCAAAGGTACAAGGGAACAAATGGGATTTGCTTGTTGAATGTTGGAGGGATGTTTCCAATAAAATAGACTGGAAACTGTTAAATATGGAAGCCTATGCAAAGCTTTTTATGTAGTCAAGTTGGCGACAAGCTTTATACTATTCAATAAGAGCTCGTGTACAAAGGCAATATTCTCCACAAGTTTTATTGGCTTAGATTTCATATGATTTACAGTGGATTAGAAAAAAATTGATGATCCAATGTATTAGACGAAATAGACATAATTAAAGGAGGAAACAAATTTTATTTCATCTACCTATTTAACAGTTTCAACTTTTAACGTCATAATAAAAAGAAAAAAGGTCTTGATGTATGTTGGATCTAGACGTAAGTGGGTTCTCAGAGGTGTTAACCACTTTGGCCATCAAGATCCGCATGATTTTGTCCAAAATAGATGTCTTTAGGTGGTAAGAGTGTTCTTGTGTTATATAAGCGGTCAAAACCCTTGTCTCTTAATAGATGTGTGATTTTGACACCAACAAAAGGTATTAATTAAACTTTTGGCTTAAATTGAAATGTTAATTTACAGTTTTCATTTATTAAATTTTTTTTTTTTAAAACAATAGCTATGTTATAAAATAAATACAAAAAATATTTATAATAATGACCAAAAGAATATTTTGTCTTACAGGTACACTGCCTATTGTTTCTTAATATGTGAAAGTTTTATATATCATGAAATGGGCCTCCATACCTTGGAGAAGCTTAATTGGGCCCAGTCCACTAACCATATCTTAATTATTTTGCCTTCTGCTTTAGCACTATTTTTCCCTCAAGAAAAAACCCCACAACAAACTTGCCTCTCAAGCGGGTAAAACTCAAAGAAATTGGACAAAAAATAATTGGATTTCCAGAGTTCATACAAATTTGTGGCCTAAAATGCCAATGGGCAACGTGTTGCAGGGTGCTCGGAGGATTATGAAAAGAAATCCTTCAAGTACAAAATCAAAGAAAGGCCCACAGCAGAAGAAAGGCTAAATCAAGATTGGATTTGTTCCAACAGGTTTTGTTTCTTTGTGTTGCCAAAAATTAAACCGTGAACCCCATGGCCCATCCACTCAAAACCTGATTATTCAGAATAATTTCTTGCCCAATTTATATAGACGCCGCCTCAATAATTCTCCTTTCAAAAAGAGCTCCCCATGGAAGCATTAACCAATTGAGGAAATTACTATTTTTATGAGAGATTTATCATAATAATAATAATAAACTATCATTGGGTGGTCTAGCTGTCAATCATGACTCTTGAATGTATTACTTAAGAGATCTTGAATTCGATCCACCTGGATTGCTAATAGCAGTGGCCATTGAGGGGATTTACTTGGTTGTCAATTTTAAGACCCCGAAAGATTAGTTAAGATATGCGCAAATTGGTCCGGATACTCTCGGTAAAAAAAAAAAAATAAAAAAAATAAAAACCTTTAATGCGAGCATTGGCAGAGATATGTTCATGGCAATGAGCAACCCCTGCCCCACACACACACACACACACACACACACACACATATATATATATATAACTTCCTAATTGGCTCGTGACCCCTCATTCATTGAAAATTACATTTTGGCCCTTAAAATAAAATTTCCTTGCTCCAAGTTTTACATGCTAGCCTCGAGTCAATGTTTTCATGCATAAGTTTGTAATTGGACGTGAAAGTTTTAGTCCAAATTTTAGGTTTCCACTTAATAATGTTCGGAATATAATATTGTTGAAGATAAGAGGTTTGTAATTGGAGTATAGACTTCTCAAATAAAAGGGAAAACAAAATTTTTTTTTTTTTTTAATATAAAAGTTAAAAAAAAAAAAAAAAAAAAATCAACTGAACAACATGTTCATGTTTTACAAGATTAAAGAAAAAAAGGTTATAAACAAGTCTAGGGCCTAAAGTTCTAGTTTTATTAGGATATAAAGGTGACTTAATTTGTTGACTCTTTTAATGAACTGTTTATCTTTGTTAATTCAACGATAATCAGATAAAAAGCTTAAGTCTTGTGATTATCATTATCACCTTCCTGGAATCTAAATGGACTCTTGATCCTTCGATCTCTTTTGTCAATCCTGTTTAGCTAATCAATGTTTGATGGTCAATATTTTCTGAATGTCTGAATAAGTTAATTATCATATGATGCAATTTATAATAAAACAAACTAAATTAACTTAGGAAGATTAGAGACATGGACGACTCAACAGGAGGAGTTGAATAGTGAATACCGTGTTGAATTTGTGCTTAAACAATTAACACGCCATGAAGGTTATTTTCAACATTGGAATGAGAATTGGTTCACACGAGCAAAGTCAAATGTCGACCATTAATTAATTTATGGCCCCAATATTGTTACTTTTTGGTTTTTGCCAGGTCTTTGAATAATACACTGTTTTTTGAATAAACTATATAGTATCTATAGCAAAGAGACAAAGACGACTTCTCATAATCTTATCTTACCTCTCTTATTATTATTATTAATATTATTATTTGTTTTTTAATTTGATCCATTTTCGAAAATTACAGAATATAGTTGCTACTTACGACTTTACAATTTTAGAAGTTTTATTTTATTTGGTTTGATCAAAAAATAAATTTGATTATTGAATATCTTTTATTTTATTATTATTTTTTTTAACAAAACTTCATTAATGAAAAGGGAAAATTACGATAGAAATCAAATCACAAAGTGTGAGATAAAAAGTCCGGAACACAATCCCACCACATGTTGATTCTATCAACATTTCTAGCATACTTAGCAAGATAATGAGCAGTTTCATTGGCCTCTCTATAAACATGTCTAAACATACATTCACCAAAACAAGAGGACAATTGTTTAATTTCATAGTAAAGACCACCAAATTTTAAACTGTCCATGTTGTCTTGAAGCAGTGCATCTATAGCAAGGAAACAATCACTTTCAACTTTGAATCTTCACAATGCCCATGCTTGCACAGAACTGAAGTCCACGAAGAATAGCTAGCAACTCTACCTGCTCTGGTTCAGCAATAGCTTCCTCATAAAATAAATTTGACTATTCAATATCTTAACGCGGCTTTATGTGTGAATATTAAATGTAAAATGGAGTAAACACTTTTCCCACCCAAGGTTTGCCTTAATGACCTTTCCCACCCAAACAGTATCAAAACACCACTTTCC